GCAGTCCGTCTTCTGTTTGGACGTTCACCCGGCAAACATAATCGCTCTCCTCTTCACCTCCTCTGCTTTTCTGTGATCTCGGTGCCTGTTCATCTGTTTCTGCCGCGCCCTCGTATTCTTCCCTTTCCCGTTTTAGGGATTAGACTTGAATAACAGCGGAGGCCTTCAGCGTTTGACTGACAGCCAGCAGAGCGTGTGAGTGGCTGTCTGGATCCACGTGATAAGCATGCTCTAGGCCTTCGTGAACAATACAAGCGAACTTTAACAACCCCCCCCCCCCCTTTTCCCAAAAAAAAAAAAAAAAAAACCGGACGGAAGCGGAAAGCTGCACTTTGTATGGCGAAGTGTGATTTCACGCGTTCTTGAAGTGTTTTGTTTCGACAGCCGTTCACGCGTTCTGAAGTGTCCTGTTTGGACACCCCTCATGCGTTCTGAAGTATCCTGTTTGGACACCGATTAAGAGTGGATGTTGTAGAGAAGACTCCTTCACTGCCACGGCAACCTGCGTCGTCAGTGGGACTCAAAAGTGCCCGTCCCTATCGCGCGTTTCAGAGAGACATCGGAGGTTATCCGAAACTCTTAGTGCGAGCCTTCCGGCGTCTCCATCCTCTGCTGCCGGTTCTGATGTCCACTTCGCCTTCAGCCCTCAGACATCGCAGCTGCCAGGTAAGGACCATCAAGCAGCATGTAACAAAACCATCTGCCGAAGAACTGCAAACATCACAGGGCCTCTTATAACCTAAAATTATATGCTGAGTCATGGATCAACCCCCCGCAACTGGGCGCAAAAAACTGTGATCCGGACTCGGCGAAAAGGGACAGGATAAGCGCGTTTGCGATATGAAACATAAACGTAAGCACGTTTCAGCCGTAATGGGTATTGGCTACCAAACCGTGTTGACCATAGCCAAAGTGCAAATTGACCAAACTGGGCGGTAATCAATAAAATAACATCAGATTATGTTTTTTTAGATCAACACGCCGGGGGGGGGGGGGGGGGGGGGAGGCCTTTGAATTCCGGGATTGTTATAGTCGTCGTGACGACGAAACCATAATACAGCTGGGTCATTATAAGAATAAAGGTAAAACTTTTAAGATAATTTCCATACTTAATTCAGTGATGGAAGCGGCATTTGACCTTTTGTAGCAGGTTCAGTAGCAGGCAGAATATTGGTTTTGAGCAGCCACTAACATCTGTTAGCACATCATTTGAGAATAAAAAAGTGATTGCATCTGTAAACGAGTTCATTTATAATAGTGATCGAGGGTTAGTATTTGATACTTGAGCATATTACTTATTACCGTTTCTGATAAGAATATATCGGGCGTAGACGAACAGTCTTCTTAAATAGAGATCTGGTCAGAACAGGTTTTATTTACAATGGGTATTAAAAAAAATGGTTGGAAAGTGAATCATAGCGCAACATTCATTGGGATGAATTATTTTTCTCCACCACATTTTACACTCGGCAGTTCGTTTAACCTGTAAATATAATTTCTGCTAAATTCCAGCAAGAACCAGCATATCCGCTAACGCGTCTGCCAGTAAAAATGCGCCCCGTAAGTTTAATGCACATACCAAACTTAAGACTCTAATATCATAAACAAAAAAAAAAAACACCCAAAAATATTATAAAAGCCTACACTTGCGCTTTAAAGGTGACACGGCTCTTTAAGGGCGTAGGAACCAGAATTACGTCAAAGTTCGCTACTCTTTCGATCGACAACTGCACGGGAATTACCGTGACTATATCGCGGTAAGCCAGGCGCTCTCCCAGGTAAGCCGCTGCTCCTAGCACTCCGGTGCCAAGCGGTGAAGCGCGCCGCGCGCGCGCTGGTGAGAGGCGGCGAAGGTTGGCGGGAGCGGCGCAAGTGCCACGGTACGCCGCAGTCCCGGAACAAAGCCATGTGGCAGACATGATAATCGAGTGATCTGATCAGGAGTTCAAACCCCTGGTTCTGTTTTATCATAATAGCCGCCATCGGCAATCCTACTATTTTGCAAAGCTTTCTTTAGACATCGTCTTTAGACAATGTCTGCGATAAACCAGCCAGCGCATCAACCGGCCAGCGCGGTTGATGCCCAGCATCAAAGCGTGACATCTGGCCTTCATCTCTTTGTACGTGTTTTTCCATCCGCTAAACCAATCAAGTGCAGCGAATGTCCCGTGACTTGCGCTATTAGTATGTGTGTTTGTGGTTCTATGTGTTCGTGTCTTCGACTGTGCTCTGCACCCAAAACGAAATAAACTATACGGTGAGTAGAGATGCTGTGAAATTCACATTTATACCATTTTTCTTTCCATCTATTTCTCTGAATATTAGGGTTGACCAATATTTTTTTTTCTTGGCGCAGGTGTAGCGCAAGCCTAAGCGAAAATTGTAATTTTACGCCAGATGTAGCAGTGTTTCGTTCATGGCACAATGGCTCAGCAGTTCCACCACTGTTAACTTGAACTTAAGCAAGGGCTTCGTGGTACTATACAAGCCGTTGAGTTCAAGCAAGCAGCAAGAGTGCACTTTTCATGTGCACCGGCTAAATCAATCAAGCGCAGGGCATGCACCTTGACCTTGTGAGTTTTAGCCTGCGGTTCCGTTTGTGTCTTCTGTCCTTCGACTCTGCAGTGACTTACGGTGGAACGCAGTATAGAATGTTATGAAATTAGCGGGCAGAAATAACTTTTTCAATCATACCTGTACTGATATGCATGAGGCAGTTCATTGATAAGTAGGGAATCATGAGGTGTGCGTGGAATCAGGGTGATTGGTGGCCGAGTGGGCTGAGGCGTCTCAGCTCGGGGCGTGGAACGAAAACTTGCGCTGTAGAACCTCCTGGGTTCTATCCCCACCCCCTGCCCTTTTCAATCTGGATGAGTTTCGCACCGGTACGCGTTCGGGTAATCACTGCTGAGTGGTGCAAGTTAGACTCCAAATTAGCGGTTGTACTGCACTGGCTAATTGCTCATTTACAGCCGAGAGACACTCACCCGTTAAGGCGCATTAGCAGCAAGGCTCTATAAACATACAGCAGAATTTGTACTAGGAGTCTTGATGTTTTCTATTTTTCTATTTTATTTGGTTCGTGATATTTTTTTTGGCTTTTTCTTTGTCTTCAAGAAAAGCTCAGTTGCAACTCAGCACTTGTCCAATCAATTTCTGCCGCCTTGCACGTTTTTTGCGCGCTGTTTCGACGGTTATTCTTAATGTTGTCTAGGGTTGCCAACCGAGTTTTTTTTTTTTTATCATTTATAAGTTGATTGGGTAGACTCACTGTCGGGTTCGCGTTAATTCTTTTTTATATGATACCACATGTACGAGCTATTTTCTAAACTTTATGACGGTGTCAAAATCTACGACACAAAGGTAGTTGTGCACACTGGTCAACGAGCTTCACGAGGATTTGCTGACATGACTCCAACTCATCTTTCAGAACCGGCTGTCTGGAAATCGCCTGCAAGCTCCAACACTACCCCCCTGGCTGACATTGCCTTTGTCTGCTATGAGGACCTGAGCAGTCCAGAGGAAGTGACGAGTCCTGGAGTGGTGGCCGTAGCCAAGGGTTCTCCATCCGGACAAGCATCGCCGAAAGTCCCCAAGCATACACTCGTGGTATGACGTTTCCGTGTAGACACCTAAGGTCCACAGCACGGGTTTTCAAACTGGGTTTTTGGGAACCTATATATCTTCCTTATTGTGACTACAAGGGTTGACAGGGCACCCAAAAGCTTCTGTACTGTTAATATGAAGTGTTTTTTTTTAGTTCTGCCAGTGCTTAAACCTAGCTGAGTCATGCTTCTGTTCATCACAATTAACACTTCCGCCTTTCTTCCTAATGCATATATGTATGTATGTATGCGTGTGTGTGTATATGTGCGTATGTATATATAGTATCATTAAGTTTGTCAGCCTGTGAATTGTTAAATTATTAGTTCAACACCACTCATTTTCCCAAGCTTCGAATAGAGATTCGATTACGATTTTCTTATCTCAGTGCTGTGAGAAAATGAATGGGACATATATGATGTTATGGTGCTGTTTTATATACTGCAAAAACTGTCAGAATAAAATGCTACAACAATAATAATAGTAATAATAATAACAGTAAGAGTATTTAATGCTTTATTTTTCGTTAGTGCCAACAAGCAGCTATGAAGCATTTTGTGTGGTGCACTGTCAGTTCGTGTTTAGAGCAACACTATTAAAAAAATCCTTGCCATTTAAAATAAATGGCAAGGTGGAAAAGAAACAAGTGGGAAACTGAGACACCGCAGGACGTGCTGAACGTGCTTTTGTTTACAGCCGCGCCTGTCGTGAATAAGCATGTCTTCTGAAAAGACTAGCTCACATACGCGCCGATGACGTGAGCACAACCTATATGTGATCCATTCCTAATACCGAGTCTCATGTTATTGTAAATATGTAAAAAAAAAAAAAAAAACTTCATAGATCTTGGGTTATGCTACTTTGAAGAGATTCAATCAAGATGATTTGCCACATGTAATGTCAAGAAGGTATTCCAATTCCCATGCAGTATTTTGACGAAAAAGGGTGTTGTTATTTATATTTTATATTGCTGCCTGCTTACATCTTGAACATGATGTCGAGTGTTATCATAACTGACGTTCTAATTCTCCCATCGCTTTCATTGTATTAACTTTTGGTTTCCCTCCTCGAAATGCAAGTTTCATCTGGTATGCGCGTCAAAACGTAGATGTACAATGCATTCCAATCTGAGACTGAAAGTGCTGACTACCGTTGAGGTTCTTGCTCCAATTTATTCTTGAACACTTCCTTTTAGACTCCAACCAAGAACCCCCGGTATAAATTCTTCACGTCGAAGAACGCACGTGCCGATGAAACCCCAGGGGCGTCGAAACAAACAACGGTTTTACCGGGACAGCCCTTCACTGACAAAGCTGAGCCTGCCCCCGAAGCTTCGCGGAGTGGACGAGTCTCAACTTCCCGGACGAGCGAGCGCAGTAAAATGCCCTTCTGGTTGAAGAGTCGTGCAGCCACCTCCGACCAGGAGAAATCGGCAGAAAAGCCTGATGAAGGTGTGGTGCACACTGCTCTTAGTTTCCTCAGGTAATCACTCTTGGAAACCTGGAGTGACTGATTTCCAGCAAAGCACTTAAAAACGAACCTGTTTAAAAATTAAAAAAAAATCACGAGTTATATTATTTAGGGAAGGTGGATGACCAGCGAAGCTGTTTAGCAGACGACACAGGTGACAGACCCGCCCCGAGGGGCCGGAGGAAAGTAGACAGGCGCGACGGGACCGCCACCCCGGGAGAGCGGAAGGAAAGAAAACTAGACACCCAAGCGCTTGGAACGACGACAAAGAGAGGGCGGTGCGGGCGTAGACAAGAGCGACGCGGGTCGCGCAGCGGTAAATCTTTGAGAAACCTTTGTTATCTACCTGAGAGTCTACTGATCTTGAAAATGGTGCGTATTGATAACTAATGTTCTGGAAACGCATATTGAGGTGATGAGACTTGAAAGCTTTTGCATAGAATGAAGCGATTTTGCATCGAATTCGGGACTTGAGTTTTTGTTGACGCACACAAAAAATCCACGGAAGCCTAGCCATAAACAGCTTCGCTGTAAAAAAGAAAAACAGCAGCCTGCGCTGCGACAGTGCAGCATGACGTTTCGCCATGCACACATCGCAAGCTGTCATTCGCATAGCTACTTCCGCAGATAGCAGCGATTGACTTTCCCAAGTGCTTTGCGGAAAAGAATACACGCTGCAGATTTCTTAGAGTGTGGTACGGTTTCTAATCGGGGGTCAGGATTTTCTCTAAAGGATTAGTATACTATTTTGCGTTTCTGGAGCCCCTTGGGGGGAGGTTGCCAATCTGGCACATGACATTCCTGAAGCTTCTTCGTGTTTGATATTGCATTAACTTCAGGACACTAATAGAAGATGCATTGCACTACAGATGATTTCATCCTCCGGTCAAGAAACCCGGTCCGTACCGCAGGGTGTTTATGTTGTACTATGTCACAAATAGAGCGGACGCAAGCGTCAAGTGTCAACTGCGTCTGCTAGTGACACGAACAACTTTTTCCGGCTCGAAATCTCGTCGGGTACCATATTGATAAACTTTAGCCGTATGTCTTTCTACGCGCGAAAAGGCAGTGTTTTTCAAATCGCTCGAGGTTATTTTTTATTTTTATTTATTGCGTTATGAGCGATTGCGTTTGCCGGAGTAGTCAATGACAAAAGGAGCATCATCTGGTACTCGATTTTTATACGTACCAATCGTTATTCGAGCTTAAGACAAGATGGGGAATGAGAAGTCGACCCGTCGGCGGCCATAAAGGCCGCGGTAGATGTCGCCCGGGCGGCTCGGAAAGCAAACAAATCTGCGTAAACTGAAATACAGAGCCGCTCGACACGCTTCAGCGTCTCACCAACACCAAGAACGACGCCAATAACTAAGCGTCTCCGTGTAAACTAATGGCGAAAGTGGCGGACACCGGAAAGAAAAAAGGCGTTTCGTGGAACCGTCTTATTGCCACAGCTAATTAGCACGTCACGTTTGTCCACGAAACGTGTGTGGTAAAACCAACAGTCAATGGGTTTTTCGGTGAAAAGGTTTTTCGACGAAACAACCACTCTCATCGGGCTCACGCTGGTTCACACATTTGTCGGCATAACCGCTTGGTACCGCTTACAGCGAGAGGATGCGCTTCCTAAACACGCTGGCGCATTAAATCGGGTAGCAATCGCATTTAAAATGGTCAAATGTACGCAAAATAAAAGTGTTCCAGTGTTACCCAATAGATGGCACCAGTGTCTCCTCTCGTCACTCTCGTCATAAGCGGTCACAAGTGCTTACAGCGCAGCAGATCACACTCAAATGAGAGCGCCTAAATGAGCCCTTAGAAACCGTTGTGTGCGAGACGCTGCCATCCTGTCTTGCAGCAACGGCCGACGAGCCCCCACCACCACCTACGAGAAGAAGTGAGCGACCTCGCAAACTCTCGGTACCCTCTTACAAAGAGCCCAATGTTAACAGGTGAGCCCGTTCATTTAATCTTTGTTCTGGTGGAAATGGGGGATTGCGCAATATATGATTGCCGCAATATATAATTGCCAAAAACCAGCTGGAGTTAAAAAAACAAATAATGCGTTCCAAATGTTAAATATTGTACCGACCCGCGCAAGCATCTATGCATGTTTTCCTACATTTCGAGTTAATTTGAGAAACAAAATCGCGTTGAAATTATTTAGGTTCCATACCTGGAACGTTTTCGTCTTTGATCTGTTTCGTTGTTGAGGTCTCTCGCAGACCAGTTTTGGGCTGTCGAAAGGGTCTCGGGCTAGGAAACTGTAGTGTTAAGATGCTAAGATTTGTGAAATACAGTGATCTCTTTTTGCGCTATTCGGATCGCTACTATTTTATGATAAAACCTATTGCGGTCAGTGTTTGCTAACACTTAGCTTCTTTAGGGCCCTGGAAAAGCTAGGTTTCTTAGCGACACGTCAGCTCGCACTTCAAAGGGTTCCCTTTTAAATTCTTTGTATACCAGCTTCGTTTTTTTTATTGTCTGTACTGCAAAAATTGAAAAATTTGCGTTAGCATATTAACTACCGATTGCTTTAACGTGACTCACCACCGCAAAACACGTTTCAAAATTATAAAACGATTATAAAACACAACCTTTTTAATTATTTTTTATTGAAAAGAAATGAATCCTTTTACCGTTATGATGAACCAACGTTGAAGCCCGCTGAATAATTCAATGCACGATATTCACTTCAATAGGCATGTAAATAGAGAACCGCACCAACCACAGAACACCTTGTTTCTAGGCTTTTAAGCATGCCCGATGCCGCGAACACGGCCCTCTCCTCGAGGAAGTTGTTCAGGTGGTGTTTTTTTTTTTTTTTTGTTTTGTTTTTTTGGCGTGCATAGTTACATTAATAGGCACTGTTTACACCTCAGCAAGTGGAGAAAGCCATTGCAACGCTTATTGTCACACAAATAAGTAAAAGCGAATACTTCTTCGACTTTTCAGGAAAATGCGACGCCAGTGATTGACAGGACAGCACCTTCCAGAGTCCAGACGATCAGCTTGTGTGACAACACACAATCTGTTGATGAATTTTAGTTTAAAATATTTTATAGTTACTCCAACCGAGCGACTCCATTATAGTCTGTTGCAGGTTAAAAAAAGCAGCACCTGCTCCTCCCCCGAAGCTCTCCACTCTTTCCACTTCAGCAGCGCACACGCTGGAGAGGAGTCCATTCTCGCCTCCTGTCTGCAGCGTTCGCTTTGTTAAAATGAAGTGGAGGGCATTGCGGGTGGAGCTTGTTCGGCCTTCCTAACCTGCGACAGGCTATAGTGCAGTAGCTCTATTGGAGTTAGTTTTAACTGTTTTATCTGACTGCATTCAATAAAATCATACAGGGAAAACCTTCACAGGGGCTCTAACCTCTAACAGAGTGCTTCGTAAAAGAGTGCACGTACTCTTGCCTGATGCGCAAGGCAGCCTGGGAATTTCGAGGGCTCTGCCAATAGACCGCTTCTAAAAACCAAGCGATCCTAGCGGCATAGTGCCGTGCAAAGCACCTTGGGAACCCAAGGGTCCGGGTTTAGGTTTGGATTTGCCAACCTTCATTCACGACATCCCGTCACAACCAACTACAGTGCATGCATTTTCGAACGCGACTTTCTTCAAATTTATAATACTGTAGGTGTTGCCTATCAATACGAATAGAATGCTGGGACACGTTGCTCCGCATGTTGTGATGAAGCTGCTTTAGAATCGCCGGTGTTAAAAAATCTGGCCACAGCAAACCCAGCACAGACTTTAGCTTCCAGACCGATGAAGTTCAGCAGGACTACAGCCCATCGCCTAATGTGGCATCGTTTTGTACGACGAAAGCATTCCATGGCTATCTGCGAAGGAAAGTCACCGAATTATGGAAAGTTACCTTCAACTTCTGCTTTATCATCTGTGCCGCATACTTGGCTGCCCCACTGAAAGCGGAAGAGAGGGGGGGGGGGGGGGGGGGGGGGGGTACGGGAGGAACAAGCACCCGTAGGATGCCATTTTTCCGCAGAATGTCTGCAATTGCTAACTCACAAAAGTTGACCCGCTCTCTTATGACCATGTCAAAAGCAACCGTTGTCGAAGGAGTGGTCATTTGAAATACCTCGATTCTCCGAGGCTAAGCGCTTTATCGTTGGTCTTGTTTGTCGAAACACCCAAGCAGTAAGAAATTGAAGTCGCTTTGGGTTAGTCGCTATGGGTTAGGGTGCGTCACAGAAACCACCAAAGTGTCCGTCGTTGTTATATTTTATCATTTTACATCACGAAATACCAGCCGTTCACTGCATGTGATGAAGTGAGCTCATGTGCACTTTGATATGAAAGAGCTCGGTGTAAAGGTAGCGATGTGAACATGCAAAAGCAATAAACTAATCCCTGATCAATGAGGTCTCATATTGGTTACGGTTGCTACTCAGAACTCAATCCAGTGGCTGTGTCAATTACCCGCAGGCTCACGATATATATAAACCTTTATAGCACTGAGCTGAACTGAGCCGATGGCTTAGTTCCACAGCGAATAGTAAGGGTGAGGAAAAACGACGCTGCTTAGACACTGACTTTGGACAGGGTCTAGTAGCTATGTTATTGGGACCGGCTTTTCGCTCCATGTCCCAGATAAAAAATTGAAAACATAGACGTTTAAACTTCAACTGTAATGCGAAATTAGAGCGCAGTTCGGGAGGAATTTCGGCGTCAATTTTCGCGTACATTTTTGTGCTAAATTTAGTGGGGAAATTGATTTTGTGTATAGATCACGTAACATAAAATCATGACATCGTTTTCTCTGCTAAATTTAGCGTGAAAACTGAACTGGTGGCAGGGTCACGTGACGTCAATTTTCCCGCTAAATCTAGAGGGGAAACCAAATTTGCGTAAAGGTAACGTGGCACGGTCATGTGACGTCATTTTTACCGCTAAATTTACCAAGGAACCTAAATTGGTGAAGGCCATGCGAAGTCAATTTTATCGCTACCTCTAGTGGGGAAATTGAATTCGTTTATAGGTCACGTGGCACGAAGTCATATGACGTGATTTTCTCGCTAAATTTACCAAGGAACCTAATTTAGTGTTGAGACCACGCGACGTAGATTTTACCGCTATATCAGCGGGGGGGACTAGATTTGTGTGTAGGTTACGTGACACGAAGTCATGTGACGTCACCTTACCATGTGAGGTAAGGTGACGTCAATGTTCCCACTAAATCTTACGGGGAAACCGAATTTGTGTGTAGATTTTCACCCTCCGTTGCATGGGCGCTGCCATCTTGGAATCACGTAACGCGGCCGCCATAAGGTGGCTTTAACTTGTCGCTTCCTCTCCACTCCGCGCCTTGGCGACGGCGTTGTATTCGTGTTTTTTTTGTCGCGTTTTTGCGATTTTTCGCCTTACTTTGTGAGGTGCATGGTACTTATTTTTACTACCTAACTGCATGCCATTATTGATTTTGGCACAATAAGAAGCGCAAGGTACATTTGTGATAACGCAGTTATGATCTTAAAGAAGGCAAATTCAACGGAAGCAGTCACTGTGTTCTTTTAAAGCATCGTGCTCTGCCATCATAACGAATCCAGAACAGCTGTGTCATTATATGGGGGAATAATTTTCGCGGTATAAACTTTCTTTTGATATCTGTTTATTTATGAATTTAGGGAACTATATATTGTGATCGGTCTCATGTCTGCACTCATTCAATTTTCCTAAGATGTCCAATTAAATTAAGTCATTTAGACATAAACGGTGGCCCCTCTGGGTGAAAAACGTGTCAAAGGCATCTTGCGAGTGCCTGACAAAAGCGCCTGAGGCAGGCAATATGTGACACCGAAAAAAAGCCGTCTGGGTGGAAATCACTCGAGTGAAGCGTTGTCGATGCCCCGGATTCACTTTCGAAACTGCTCAAAGTAAAAACCGTATCGGTTCAAACAAAAAAGTATCTGTCAAGCAAAATCCGCAAAGCGGTGCCTGGCATTTGCTTGCGAGAGGTCAAATTGGTTGCGCCTTTAATTTTATTTCGCAAATTATACAGAATACAGACGTCAGACAGCAAATGACGTGTTTTTCCCTAATCTCATATTCTCAAGACGTTGTAAGGAAATGTCCGTAGAAAAATAGTTTCCTAAGACCAACCTTGTGAAATGCTGCTAATGAATAGTTCAGCAGGGCGTTGATAGTTGAAAAAGAATTGCTACTCGGCCTATAGGGTGGACCATCGAAACATCTGTCCAGTACTTAATTTCTTTAAAGAAACCGATGGAGACATTATCGCTTCCTTTTTGCATTCCATGAGGTTGTGCCTGGAACCACTTCATAGAATGCTGATGAACAGATGAGCTTGCGAGTTCATCGGTTCTATGCGATCCAGCACATTGTTAGTCAAGTCGTCTACCTGGTTTTTCACTGTGCCTCCATGCATTAGCCTTCTCATTCGTTTATTTTTATGTAAACTGGTTTTAGCGAGTACCTCCTGTACGGCAGATCACATCCGTAATCCTCCCCCGGCATTATTTCAGTCGTTTCGCCGCCGAACCTGACCGAACAAAGAACGTGATCAGATGAAGGTGTTCGGAATACGTCCACAATTTAGGCTCGTAATTACGTCACACTTTTCAAGCTGTCCCATTACCACTGTATCGTTTCTTCTTTCACCAGATGGGATATATTTATATCGCATAACTAAGCGAAAACGACATAACGCATCAACACAGCCGCGAGCCCGTCGAGACCGAAACCAACCAGAGGCCACCTTAAGGTGCTAGAGTTCCTCGATATGCTCCCCCGAAGGGGGGCAGAGTTGCGCATTTGCCTTCCCCGCGCCGCCACGCCGCTATTCGCCAAGATCGATCACGGGAGGAGAAAAGCATCCAGCGCCGTGCAAGAAAGCCACCTTTACGGTCGCTCCGCCGACGTTGCACGCGCCCCGGCGTATGTTCCGCTGTTTTCGCCTCCTTCTCCTCTTTCTACTAGAGGGTGATTTCAGATAAGATCGACCAAAGGGTGGCTGGTCGACATTTTTAAATCAACTGATGTTTTTATATGACATTGTCTAGTGTCTGGTATAAACGAATCCACACTTAGTTTTGACCAGAAAAAAAATTTGGAGACAAGAAAAATCGTAAGGCAGGGAGAGGTGGACAGTTGCAATAACGCGCACTGATGGAGGGGGCAAGTTTGAAAGTGAATAATTAAAACAATAAAATTAGGAGAATTTTAAAACTTTTTACAAACAAACTATGGGTACAACTTGCTTGTAATATAAAGTAATAATATTTATTAAAAATTTATTTAGTTTTCTAAAAATTGCCAAACATGCCTGCTCGAACGACAAATGGAAAACTTTGGAAATCTGTATCTCATGAAATAATTTAATCATTATTACATAACTTGCAGACATTATTTTACTAATATATGGCTATTATTGAAAAAATAAATAAGGTATCTGAGTGACACAATAGTTACAATATATTTAGGCAAACATAGGAAAAAAATGAAACAAAGAAAAATTCGAATGCGAAAAAAAAAAAAAAAACACCTTCGATTTTTTTTAAATTTGGGTACCCTGTTATACTCTATTTCGGCATTCATTTCTATTAAAAACATGTTGCATCATTGCACTGTGAAAGAAGAAACAACTCCCCAAAGTAGGGTCCTTTTTCAAAGCCTACACTTAGCAGTGTCCTATACAAGAAGTGACTCTGAGTTCCAGTTTCATGAAACTTGCACAAATCTTTTATATACATTTATTCAGATGAGTTCATTGATAAAAAGAGCGATCGGTCACACAGTAAAAGGGAGGAGAAACTATATACAGCATTTTACATAAGCGTACAAAGTGGTATCATATTAGAGACTAATGATTTGAGAAAAGATGATGCAGTGTGAAGTTGTACCTTCCGGTATATTTTACATCTAGAGTAAAATAAATAACTTTACTTCCACACACAAAAACAAAGATATAATAGTAAGATATTTAGGTTGGCTGTGTATTTACGATTACAAACAATTTCAGGTGACGGA